AAAAAAACTATGTTCCCAATTTTTCCTTTTCATTTTTATGTTTCTTACATCTACGCTACAGCTACTGATCCAAATCCTACGATGACGTCATGTTGACGTGTAGAGTTGCGTCCATGCTGGAGTTACAGACGGGGCACTCCATCAGCTGCCGCGACCCGCCGCCGCAAGGCCCGCACAGGCACAGGTGCCGGCACGGCAGTAGTAGCACGCACGGCTCCCTCTCGCCGCACATTCTGCACATCCTCTCCCTTCGGCCTCCGCCAACGGCGGAGGTTTCCTGCTCCCGGCAGTGACCTCCGTCGCTGCTGCCGCAGCACGACTCGACGTCCTCCTCCTCGCCCACGGCGGCCGGGACGACGCCGCCGCCCGATACGCCCTCCGAGCCGATATGGAGGAGGACTTGCTCCAGGTTGTTTCGGAGGGAATTCGCGGCGGCCTCGTTAGTCTGCGCCAGATCTCGCCACAGCTGATTCTCGACGTAGAGGCTTTTAACTCTTTCCTGAAGGACTAAATTCAATTTTCCCATTCTCTGGATTTGTTCGTCTTTCTCCCTCAATTTCTTCATCGCCCCCTCGCCGACGGCCGCCGCCAGCAGCCTTGTCTGCTGCTTTTGCCTCTCTTCCAATTCCATTCGGATTTTCTTATTCTGCAGATATTAAAATAAAATTAGTAAAAAAATCGATATTGATTATATACCACATCAACAATATTAATACAAAAAAATAAAAGTAAATAAATTCATATAATTCAGATTTGTTAAGAAGGCTTACATGTTGGGATATAATGGCGTCGATCTCCAACTGACACTGATGTAGTTGCGGCATGAGGTCCTCGCCGGTGGCGAGAGAAGGCGGCAGCCGGTTGCCGTAGAGGTGACTGAGCGAGTCATCACGCTGACGCTTTCTCGAGACCGGCACGTTGCACGTGAGGCCGCTGTCGGTGTTGGCCGAGGTCTTCGCCTGAAGCGAATTACACGCCGCCGGACGGTAGAGCAGTTGATATTCCGGCAAGGAAGCACCCACGGGGCCGCCCACAAAACCCATCAGGGAATTGTACGGAAGATTAAGGTTCGAACCCTGGTTCGAAGGGTTGAAGGAGTGCCTGTCCTGAACGAGTTGGCCCGGAAAAAGATTTAGATGCGTTGCTTCAACTGCCATGAGAAGAGAAAAGATAATAGTATTTGTGTTTGTGTTTGTGTTTGGTGATATTTGATATTTTTCTGGGTTTTGTTTGATTTTTTTTAGAGAGAGAAAACAAAGGTAGAGCAAAGCATGCAAGAGAGGAGAGATGGTGATAAGGAAAATGAATGGGCTAAGGATTTATTTAAAGCGTTTGGTTTTGGGATAGAGAAGAAGAACCTTTCATAAGTCAATCAATTTAGAGAGAGAGAGAGAGAGATAATAAGAGATAGAAATGGTCATCCATTTGCATTGATTTTAGCAAAATAAATACTCGATCGGTGATGTACTCTACTCCTGATTTTTCTTTTCAGAAAAAAATAAAATAAATAAATAAATAAATAATCGCAAATTATTAAATTAAATTCGGTTACTGCCAATATTGAATTTCCAATAAAATAATACTACTAATAATATATAAAAATCAGGCTCCGGACAAAGGCATTTAATTAAATATATACTACATTTCTAGAAATTCCTCTACTCCCACTCCATAAATGGGTCCCACATCCGCAACGGACTGCTCGAACGCGGGTGGCAGTTTCGTCTTTCCGCACTGATAGACTTTTGACGTGGCATGGGAGAGTACGCGGGGCCCACGGTCCACCGTACGCTGCTGGGGAAAACAACAGTTTTTTTTTTTGGGTCAAGTCCAAGGGCTCTTTTGTCTTTTTGATTTTTTTTATTTAATTAAAGAAAAGTCGTGTGGTGTGTGTGTGGTTCCAAAAAACGTGAGTTGGGTGGGGGCGTGGGGACCACCAGCACGTGCGATGTGTGCTGATGATGGTGAAAAGGCAGTTTCAAAGGATGGTGGGGACCACGGGATTTCTGTTTCATCTGCGGTTTTCACGGTTTTGCTGCCTTTTGTCCCCATTCCTATTCAACTGGTGTGGTGTGTGGTGTGTGTGCCTGTCCATATGGGACAGCCCTTTGCATTACCATCTTGAGGAGTTATCAGGTGCTGCGCTGGTGCATTGCTCCTGATGTTTTCATACACAACCTCATATGCCTGCTTACCGGTTCGTAGACCTATGAAATGGCTCCGGAGGGGTTTTAAGCATTAGCACTCTGACAATTAAATTAGTCAACAATGATAAAGACGATGAACAATATATTATATAAAGCTCTGTAAGTATAATAGACTGTGTTGAAAATGTAGAATGTAAATGGACATAATTCACTCAACTTTTTTTATATAGAGGTGTTACCTTGTTGTTCAAGATTGCACGGACGAGCTGCTCAATTTGTTCGAGCTACTCGCTCATACTGTCTGAACTGTCCAACTCTGTTATGTCACATGCTTCAATCCACGTCTAGCTTTTATCCTAATTTTATTTCTTTTTGTCATTACTATGTCTTATTAGAGAATCGAATCGTATGACTGACGCAATACATCTCGTGGTAGAGTGCCTTATGCGCAAAGCCCTACTTCGGGCCGATCCATCAGCCAACCATGCTTTCAGGTCGAGTTTTAACCAGGCCATCCGATGACCCTATTTCGATCTGTTGGTGCTCCTTTGTACTTGAGACGTCCTCATCGACCTAGAGACCTCTCGATCTGTAGCTCCTTAGATCACCGTTCGACCTACTGGTTCACCTAACTCTGTCAGTTGATTTCTCGGGTCAAGACAATCTGATGTAATGTCCCATATCACATGGTAAAATTTACCTAGTTAATGATAAAATCATATGGAAATCTTGTCGCGTGGATTTGGATTTCCGCTAGTTATTATTGTGAAAATTTCTATGGATACATTTGAATGTTAGCAGATTGAATTTAATTTGAATTTTGGCTTGTTAAACCCGCTAACTAAGCGTATTTGGAGAAAATTAATTGATTATTTTTTAGCTCAGAACGATAATATCGATAAAGATTCATTGAGCATCATTTAGAGTAAAGTACTATACATATACCATTATTTACTATTCTTAATCAAATAAGCTATGGCAACTAGCTAATAAACATATAAGTAGTAGCTATTTTTTCTAGCTATAAATAAATATATCACTAATAAATTGAACTATATAAAAGATTTCGCAATATTTGTTTAGCGTAAAATGTGTCTAGATATTCGTGATGATTACTTTGACCATTCAATTAATCTTATTGAAACAAAAATCAATCTTATAATCTCGATTTGTTTGGGTGGGCGTGGGAAATTTGACTAAAAGGGTTTGTTAGATTCGCGTTCCTATTATTTTTTAATGCTTTTTGCATTATTAAACTGCTAATTTTAATTTATTTTCTAAGTTGTGTGTAGGTTTAAAACTTTTCTTAATATGAGACATTTGAATATATAGGCATAGACCATAGCGCACTCTAATATTTAAGGGAATAAAACTAAATGGAAACAAAAACAGTGTATACATTCGTATTATGAAAAAATGTTACCTTTACTTTTAAAGTTATTATTATTATTATTATTTTTTATTTTTTTTTCAAATTAGCCGTATTTTAAGGGTTTTGAGTATATTGGCGTGGGTAAAGTAAATGCCATATCATATTATAGGGAAATGCTACAGTCCCTTTACGGAATCATTCCGTCGAGATTTGTAACCTTTACATCATAATGTAATCGTCGGGGATAATTAATCTAACGATTACAGATCTCGATGGAATGATTCTGCAATGGGACTGTAGAATCTCGTGTCAGCTAAGCCCAAAATAATAATAATAATAATAATAATAATAATAATAATAATACTTTTATTATTCTCATCATGCAAGTAAGTAAAAATAAAGAACCAAAAAAAAAAAAAAGGCATGGCCCTCGGTGTCATCACGCTCAGAAAAAAATATGACCTTTCAAATCTTGAATAAATGCTTTGTAGAGCTTATCTATTTCACACATCATATTTTTTTAAAAAAATAAAATTGATACTTATGATATAAAAATAATATATCTTTGTTCACATTATTATTTAGAATGACATTTCAGACTTTTTTTTTTTTTTTGGTACAAATGACATTTCAGACTTTACGTTTGAAAACATATGATAGAATAATTTATGTTAGCAATTATAAACCAATCGTAAAAATAGATATGATATATTGTTATCTACTTATTTTTTTTTTTTCCTTGAAGTGGGAGTTCGATACCGTGACGTATTAGCTTACATTAACTGATCAATTATTTATAAGTATAGATTAAATAACTCAGTAAGATATATATGTCCACGTTCACTTGCACATACATTTATGCATAATAATATATATAGTCCTAATTAAATATATATTCAATTACTCAATAACAACCATTTCAAGAATAACTGATGGTTGTCACAACTCACAAGGCATTATAATTAATTAAATCATCAGTCCCACTTGGGCTGCCTAATGTATAACCACGCTTCCTTCAAAAGTTTTAAATTAAAAAAAAAAATATCATTAAATATTAATAACAAAATTAAAATAATCCCAAGAAACAAATCTTTGGCTCGAATGGTTCCAAAGGGGAACTCATTATATAAATAAATAAATAAAGGGTTAATGGAGTCAATAATTGTTGCTTAATCAACGGTAATAAATTATAATATCTCATGAGTGGTTTTGCACAAAAGAATTATAATAAAATTCTCCCATCAATGTGCTTTCTTCACCAATCCAACCAAACATCATCACATTATTATTATTATTATTATTATTATTATTATTATTATTATTATTATTATTATTATTATTATTATTATTATTTATTTTAGAAAAAAAAATGGGACGAATTAAATGTACCACCTCATAATGTGTTTGAATCAAATGCCGACAGGATATTAAATTTATTAAATTCAAAATAATAATAATAATGAAAAAAAAAAATGGAGCAAATAAGTCATGAAAGTGGTCCACGTTTTTTGTTGCTTTAAGCTTTTGGTTTAGTTGGCATCGGAACCAAATCATCCCAACAAGGAATTTTTGAGTAATTAAAAAAATAGTCAATGCTCCACCAATAACATTTTTAGATGGAAATATTAAATTAATCACAATAAAAAATGACTCACGCTTCTGATACTCGATATCGGACTCGTCGATGAATAAGTTCGAAGCTCGATACGTTTATCAGTATGTATTAGTAAGTTGAACTCGAGGTTAATTTAATAAGTCGAGCCAAGGTAAAACGTATAGTTTCAAGTCTTAAAGAAACGAGCTCAGGTCAACTGTGAACTAAATGAGATGAGGTAAATCCGAGCTCACGATATATATTTTTTCATTTAACACTAGAGAAAACCTAAATGCGAGTATTATTTTTGATTTTATGAATAAAAAAATAATTATAATAAAGAAAAAGAAAAACAGTGGAGAAAAATAAACAAACATAAAGGGTCACATCATAACTATATACAACATGGATTGCGCATCTTCACATGTTCACAGACAACAGTACACCAATTAATGTAAATAAATAATACTATAAGGGGTCGTTTACTTTGGGGGATAGGGATAGGCTAAA